GGGGGGGGGCTCTGTCCCTCCCTGTATGTAATATATATATATACATACATACATACAGTCTGACTTCTATATAACGAACTTACTTCCATTTTGCAAATTTCATTATTTTGCGAATTTTTTCGAGGAACCAAGAACATTTTAAAAATTTCTTCGTAAAATAACTTCCAAATAGCGTAGTGAATTTTCTATTTAACGAACTTTTCTTTGAGATCCACTTTCTCTATTTCCCAAAATATTTCAGAACATTTTAAACTTGTTAACGCATTTAATTAGGGAAATAACCTTGAATTGAATTTCAATGCCACTTAACTTTTAGAGAAAGCAGTAAAATCACTTTCCCTTTTTGTGTGCATTTCAAACGATAAACTCAGACTAAATTAACGAATTTTATCAATAACAATTAAACTTTAGAACGCATGTGGTAATGTATGTTTAAAATTACTTTTATTAATAAATGCAGGTATAATTGTATGCATAAATTTAGCTTTTTTTAGTTGAAAATATATGTAGCATGATTGTGTAACACTGAATAATGTTTATCTCTATTCTTGTTTTCCATGCAGATTTCTTTTATGATTAAGATTTATAAAATAAATAGTAGTTACTACTTTATAATATAAAGGTGTAACCATTGCTATTTTGATTATGTCTAATGCTTATGAATTTGAAGCCTGTTTTGTGTCGTTTAAATATTTCAAAAGATGATTTTTCTTTTTAAGGAATTTTCCATATAACGAACTTATTATCGTGATTTAGCTACTTCGTTAAATAGAAGTCCGACTGTATATATGTATGTATACAAAAATGGAACTATTATTGAAGTTTAATGAATCAGCGAGGCATAACCTAAAAATGTAAAATTAAAAAAAACCTTAAATTAAAATATTTTAAGCATTCATATTTGGGGCCCTTGAAATTGTGGAGATCTTGGTGAATTAACCCTTATATCCATGCCATAATCAGGCCATGGTCGAGTTATAAATATTCGTGGTTTTCCTCTTTATCTAATGCAAATGCGAGTTGGTTTCATCTAAAAATCCTCCCCGAAATCAAGTTTGCCCCAATGCTTGATCCAAGAGTTCCCTTGTTTTCTGGTTTGGGTTCAAAATTACAAGGCCACAGAGTTGAACATTGATAGTTCAACTATGTTCAACACCTTTTATAAAATAAAATATAAAATCAGTGAACGAAAATTTTTAATTATCAAATGCATTTTATTAACTTAAAAAGTAATAAGAATGAGATAAATCTTTCTTTAAAGGGGAAAAAAAAAACATTTAATGCTGCAAAAAGGGACAAAATATCAATAATAATAAAAATTTTCAATAGGTGAAAATGGAATGGACGAATTTTCTACATCGTTTTCTTGATTTATTTATGAAATTGAATGAAAGGAAGTTAATGTTAATGACACATCTCTGAAAAGCGTTTATAATTGATCAGAAACAAATAATATTAAGTACTCAATGCAAGAGAGTCAAATTGTGCTTTAAACCAATTCAGACGCAAAAAGAAAAGGGTTCAATTATTTGAATGGTAAATTTAAAAACACGAAACTCAGAATCCATTATGACACACCAAAATTAAAAATTATCTACTCAACGTAGCAAATTCAAGCGATATTTGTCGCGAAAATAGAA